CTCTATCGCTGCCAAAAACTCATGTGCTGATTTCACAGCAAACACTGCGAAACTAACATTTCTGCAAACATTCCCAATGGAATAAACTATTTGGTGGAAATAATTTGTCACCCTGCTAAATTTAAAACGATTGTTGTTGGCAGTATATGCGCGCGCGCCGGCGTCTCGGCATTTGTATAAGATCGACTTCACAATTGAAATGGATTGAAAAATCGTGACCTATTTGTCATGAGACAACGCTTATTACATGCATGATAGTTTAAGAATTTCACATTCGCGTGATAGATAACGTATACCTAATATGTAGCTACCTACATAATATCGGACAAAGACTTTAAAATTATCTATTTCCTATTATATTATGAATTACCTACTATTAAGTCGTTTCTATAGGTATTCAAATTGATTTTTGTTTAAAGGATTAGGTAGGTAGGGTAAAATACCCAGTAGTCGACCTTTTAATGAGTATCATAATTTGAGTTACGGCTTAACGTGCCTCCGTGCTTCGGACTGCACGTTAAGTTATTGTTAGATGTGGTATCGGTTTTAAATAAAGTCGGATTGTGAACTATAATTGACGTTAATTTAACAATACTGTATTAGATTAGTTTAGGTATCCCTACCTACAGCTTGGGATTAACGAGTAATTTTAACCCCCTTGTGTTACAAACTTCTCTAGTTATCCAACACTAGAGTATTGTCAACTTTTAGTCGAAGTGTACTAGAATTGCTTTCGCAAAATTTAAATAACATACGTTACATATTGTTTGTTGGCGGTTAACGTTTTAAATATTTCCATAAACACTACTGTCATTATGATGAACTTGAAGCACATTAAAGATGACACACGCCATTAAACAAAAAATAAAATTGTAATAACTTGTGACCTCGTAAGAAATTATACGGAAGCATAATAAATAAAGATACTTATTGATACCACACTACCGTGTTACATCTAAATCCCTACTTAAACTCTTCCTAACTTATAAAACGAGGACCAAAGTTAGTACTTGGTTTAAACCATTGGTCGCCTAAAGCAAATTGACAATGACAGAAAAAAAAACGTGAAATTGAGTCGTATTTTGATAGGATAATGGTTTGAACCTGGTTCTAATGTTAGGCCTAGTTTTGTAATGAGACGGTTATGGAATAAGAGCATAATTGTAAGAACAACTTATATTAATGGAAATACTCTACGTGAAGACCTCCCTAGCAGAGTAACTCACATGCCAGTGTCAAGGTAGAGTATCATTCCCGGGTTCGATTTCCATCTATACTCCATTCATTATAGCATTAGACAGAAGTTAAATAAGGTTCTTTTTATGGTATACTTTGTGACAAAATATCAATAATCATGTCACTTTTAAGACTGACGGCTAATTTGCTACATATCCACTTAAATACCAGCTGCTATACTTAACTGTTGTCATTTAAGCTATATATTAAACAAATTTATGAGTATATGACTAACTTAAATGATTTAATAACTATTACAATAAAAAGTTTTCATCGTAAAGAAGCAGGGTTGGAAAGTTTCGAGACGATTCTCATGTCACTATAACTCTACCAAATTTAAAACGTTGCCTAACCCCTTCAAACGTTTCGGCAGTACTGCTTTTTAATTTTATCAGACTATTATTTATTCATAATTGTTAAAATCGTAATCTGGGATTGTCATCCATTGTGACTGCATTAGTTATTGTTTTGCCGTTTTCAGATGTTATTGTTTTATTTTTGTTTTGTTTTTGTTGTTAAGTTTTTGTGATGGTGCTACCGGTGCAGGCCCGAAATATGGACGACGCCGGTGCAGGCCCGAGTGGCCTACAAAAATTACGCTCTAAGCCCCCATACCTACCCTCAACCTTTGACATTTCAGGGAGTTTTTCCAGTGTCTTCATCAATAGTCTAACTAATTACACTTACGATTAGAATTTATCAAAACAACAGACAGATAGTTTCAGTTTTAGTTCCATGTTGGCTTGGGAGTAAAAGATGAATTTATAAAATGCTGATATCATCTCAACCCCGAGGTATCTTCAAAAATAGAATGTTGGCCAGCTCTTTCAGACTACCTAACGTTCAAAGTTTCAACAAAACAAATATATATTTTTTAAATTTATCTTGAAAATAAAATGTTCTGCACTGCTCTTTTTTCTCTCTCTCACTGTCCTCTTTTTTCTAATGTTATAATGAATGGAGTATAGGCCAATATAGAAAATTATCTTTAATTTCTGGGTTATATTAACTTCGTTTTTTTCTTTATTATATTTGATCAATTTTGCATTGCATTTGATCAAACAATGCTTAAAAAATCAACTTTGTCCATTGCACTCTGTCTGAGATGGGACTCGAACCCATGGCCTTTCGTAATCCGTGCGACTACTCTAACGTCGCATTTTTTCATTAATATTTTTCAGTATAACATTGTGAATGGAAAATTGATCAAATATAATAATTAGAACAAATTTTCATAATTTAATAAGCTGATAAGATGATGAAGTCGGAAGGTGGTCAAAGGAATTTGGTAATGATGTTATGCAACTGCATCGTGTTTGGGCGCTTTAGATGCGTCTTTATGAGGACAACAACATATAAAACCAATACTAAGAAGTTAAAATTATGCGCACTAAAACGTAAATAAATAAATTCTAAACATTTATATTAAAGAATTTATAATAAAAAAATTCTTTAACATTAATTGACTTCAAAAGCTTGTAGCGCGTTAAAAATATTTGTATTTCCAGGTCCCAGATTTCATTAGATTACAATTGCATATAAAGCAGGCAACATTTTTTAACTAAAAAAAACATTACTGGCACAGATTTGAGGTATAATCAAATAAGGTAATGGAGGATTTATTTGAATAAAAAATCTCCATGATGCGACAGCGCTGTGTTCGGCGCCGTTTTCTTTAAAAAAAAAGCAAATCAAAGTTGCTGAATACTCAACTTGTTATGCAGTCTTTGAGCTTGTGTCGCACTATCCGTTCGTACCTTCCTCATCAGCCTATAAAAATTCCCATTGTTGAGGTACAGGCCTTTCCTGTAGATAGAATTCAATAGCAGATTGGGCTATTAACCCCCCACATGAGCAGAGCATTGCCACCCCTTGATCGACCTTGACGAAAAATGCATCACCCCCCACATCGCAGAGCGACGCGCTAACCGTTACCAATTCCATACCTTATTGATTCATAACTGTTTTTGGTCACACCCAATTTGATGAACCACATCTTGGAGGAAGAAACACTGCTGCAGAATTTCACTTTTCGGAAACAATTATAATAAAAACTAGATACGAAGAAAAACCAACTTATACTTAAGAAATACGAAAGGAAATTGTTATAAATAAACATCTTTATCATTAAATTAACCTAAACTGGTCTATAATTAGTAATACCTACCTACTTTTTTAAATTTACACGTGCAGTAAACTAAAATTAATGCTTTAAGGCCTAAGGCAACAAAGCACAAACTTTATCAACTGCTTTCAGAGAGAAAGCAATTTAATATTTAAATAAATATTTTCAATGCCAAAATTTAAACAGAACAACAGATTATTTTACCTATTTTTAAATTATTTAAATAATGATAAGAAAGATAATTATTGAAATTAACATCGTAATGACGATAAACATACATTCATAGTAAACATTTTAAGTTTCATAGAATCATCGTCCTAATCCAAACAGGTTCATTCTGACGGTACAAAGGACTAGCTATATGAAAATATACTTATTTTATTTACTTATATCATAGACGTATCTTAGTATTACTTTTTAATCGACTTCATAAGAGGAGGAGGTTCTCAATCGGACTGTATGTTTTTATTATGTCTTTGTTACGCGATTACTCCGCCAACTATGAATCGATTTTCAAGGTTATTTGTTATTTAACAGCTTAATAGGCCGAGTTTGTCAAAATCTAATTAGTAGTTTTCTTTTTACAATAAAACAAAATATGCTTTTCATCAGATATCACCTGATATAATTATTGATGACGTTTATATCAGCGAAACATTCCTTCAAAATCCAAAAGAAGGAATTTCTATGTTCAACTGTTAATATTTTAGTGAAAGCTATACAAAAAAAAAATTTTAGTGGTACTAATATAGGTGCTAAGTATTTATAAATTACCTATATTTTGTATAGTAGTAATAATATTGGCTATATTTTGGTTAAACTAAAAATAATGACATTTGTTTTCAAAAACTATTGCCCGTTTTCACTAAACTTAGGAGTCGCCCAAGTCTGTCGCCTAAATATTTAGGAATCGCCTAAGATAAAAATGCATTTCACCATTGACCTTACAAAATTAAGCAATGTCTAATGTTATGGTGTTCGTTATGTGGCGCCTTGCGCTAGGCATTAAGGGTAGGGGAAAAAAAAATTTTTTGGACGATTCAAAAGTGTTTGTAATAGCCTACTTGAATAAAGATATTTTCATTTCATTTCATTAGCATATATTAGGTCATAAATATGTCAAAGGATAAAAGAAAAAAATATTTATTTGGAATCAAACTAAACTGCTTAGGCGATTCATAATATTAGGCGTTTCCTAGTTAAGCTATGCGTTGTTCTAGGTTAGTGAAACAGGGTGTATAACTATTTTTAGGTTCATTATAGTAATAAAGGCCGCCAATTGTAGTTTTTATTTATTGTATACATGTTTTTGTCCATTGGTGTACAATAAGGAATATTTCATTTATTCATTCCTTTTACGCTATGACTTGTACTTATTTCTAGCACTGGTGGACTACGAGGGGAGGGCGGAAGGAGCGGTCCGCCCCGGGCCTCCGGTCCTAGGAAGCCTCCAAATGAGCTGCCGCCATCCGCAAAAATCATAATAATAAAGTTAAATATGTATACGTTTTTGGTGTAAACGCAATATCAAGTTTCTGCCCTGGTTCGAAAAGGTTCCGGGCCTTTTGCCGCTCCGGGCCTCCGATGAGGTTAGTCTGCCAATGATTTCTAGTATAATCCAAAAACCAAAAATAGTTTGATGATGATGCTTTACTTTAATAATATCGAGTGTTGAAATAAAATATTCTATCATATTTATAAATGTTTATTAGAAATCTTACAATAACTTAACTAATGTAGTACTAAAAGGGAAGCATACTTAGGCATTTATCAATCTCAGGCATATAAACACAAGGAATTAAAAACTAATATCTAGAGCAAAATAGTTATATGTAGAGCTAATTATATATTAATACATTATTATACAATATGTTTAAAAATTGGTTTTTCTTTAAAAAAGTCATGTGATATAGCTCCGTAAATACAAATGTTTCGCAAAGCATTTACAATTACATAAATAAGTTATTAATTTTCAATTCAAATTTTCAATTTTTGATTCATGTAAAATTTTATTACTGAAGCTTAATAAACTGACCGATCGCTTATTAGGGGTGGAAGATCAAAAATTGTTGGTTATCCTATATTCGTTTTAATCTCAACTAATGAATCAAGCTTTTTGACTGACAGTTTTTAAAAAGAAAAATATCCTCATTTCACTCAAAAACAATAAGTATAACTGTTTCTTAATGAATAAAAAAAAATCTTCAGAGTAGCGACATTTCATTAGGATAAAAGTGAAAAAAAAAAACAATAATTTAATAACAATTCAAAGTGTGACATAATTAATGCGATCTATAGACAATAATAATAAAAACAAAACTCATTGGCTATCAATAAGTTATTAGCGGTTCATTCTTATGGAACCTTGACATCTTCAAAATAATGAAAAATACTACAAAGATAACTCCCGCTTATTATTACTTGTTTTTCTATCTGTACACGAGTAATTTCTCTTAATAGTATGGGCGTCGTGGATTATTCTGTAAAAAAACGGATATTAATTCTTATTAATTGGCTACTTAATGAATAAGTCGGTGGCGTAATGGATAGTCGCCGCGGCCCGCGAACATTGATACTAAGCAACTTTCTCAAATGTCGGTCACGGGATGGGCTCTGGTAAACAACGCCTATTTATTTTACATCAATTTCCTATATGGTACTGTTCTTAACTTATTTATATCATTTTATTACGTAATCGACCACTAGATGGCATTGTTCTTGTTTTATTGATACCTTTTAATCTACTACTGTATACTATACTGTATAAGTACATTTTATTTATTACATTCGGAGTTTCATTTTGACAGATCAATCAGTTACGCGGTGAAACCACTGGTAAATAATGTAACCCCAACAATATTATTAATTTAGTGACAAAAAGCCTGCTTACCAATGGATTTGGTCTGAATCTGTATGCAAGCATCATCCTCTTCCTGTAAGCATCGAACTCGTCATCTTCTGCAGACACCACGTCAGAAGCGTTCGCCCCAAGACCCATATTGGCCACTGGCTGCTGGGCCCTTTATACAATAAATTGTAATTAATGTCACTTAGTTATTCAGGTTCTTAATGGATATAAAACAAACTCATAATTACACAGTTAAACACCCATTTCCACAAACGTATATTAGAATTGTCATTAGTATAATGCGACATTACCGACACAAATTTTCAAATTTAGAGCATTCATTACAGCTTAAAGTCATCTTTAAACCTTAATAGACGTTTGTACAACTGGGTAAGAGATTTTTATCAAATTTATGCAAAACCGGTTTTCCCATACAGTCTTATTTAAAACGAGGACTAACTTTAGTACAAGGTTTGAACCGTTAACCAACCAAAATAAGTCAACATGTCTCAAATCGATGTTTTCTTTTCTGTCATTGTCAATTTGCTTTACATGGCCAATGGTTTAAACGAAGTATTAAATTTGATCCTAATTTGGTATGAGGACAATGTTCTGCTCAAGATAGTAAGATTCAAAAAGAAATTAAAGTCGGTACATAACCACAGAAAACCTATTAGTTATAAATAATCAACCAGGTTGAGAAAGAAGCTCGGTACCGCAGTGGATAATCCACTCGGTCTACCTTCGATGTAGAGGTTAAACAACTTTTGCAAGGTCCGCTCAGTGGATGGGTGACCAAAAATATATAATCTTGAGCTCTTCCGCGCTTCGAAGTGTTAACCTGTTTGTCCCGGTTGAATCTGCAGACGTTGACATCCCCCAATCTTCAGTGGACCCGGTGGTTGAAAATTCCCCGATTTCGCGATTGATATTTTGAATCAGTTAATGTAAAAAAACCGTACTCTAATGAACCGGTTTTAAGAAACTTGACCGGTTCAAAAGAACATAACCGGTTCGAAGAAACTTAACCGGTTCAAAAACAAACCGATTTTCAAGCTCTGTTACTATATTCATTACTTACTTGTTGATGGGCTCTACTATGCCGGTACCTTCAGCGCCTAAGCCTTGACCTTCATTCCAGCCGAGCTTCTGCAGCATTTTGAACCCTAAACATCAATATCCCATCATTATGTGAGAACTAATGGTATGGCAATGATTATATATAGCATTGCTGTACACAGTAAATAAATAATTATCTATTATTTTTGTAAAAGCTTCACCAATGTACACATAACAAAAAGTAATATATGTAATATAATAATACCGCCAGCTGATTGTTGATTTTTTAAATATAAATAGGTTTAGAACCTAAAAGTCAACAGCAACCCAGGTTACACAAAGCTGTCAAATTTCTCTGCTTTATTATAAACCTTAATATACTAAGGGTATAGTATAAAATCAATTACGGAATTTCGACCTATTAACTATGTCGAGCTGCTGAGAGAGAGCATTTCGTTGATACTGTAATGAATCTTAAAAAATTGTACACTCACCAACATTGTCCTCTTTCAGTTTAAATTCTTTATAATCACTCAGATCTGGTTCTTTACCACTTTTGAAAGCTGAATATTTTTCCATGAACCTGGAATATAATGATTATGTATTAAATTCCATTCTAATACAACAACCAAAGTGGGCTAGTGGCCAATATGGTTTCATGATGTCGTTGTCTTTTAGGTCTGATTCCCAAACAGGGTAGTCAATAAAAAAAAAATCCAGTTAATTAACTTTTCTATATTGTATCGGGTCTGGGTATCGTGTAACCTTTGTTGTTTCATATTTTCATAATACAAGTGCTTGGTTGTCTTATTTATTCCAAAATATAATTTATTTCAAAATGTATATGGAAAGTAACTGTTAAAGTATATGTTACTGGTATAATAAACACAACTGTAAACTTAATACTTAGATTTAATATAACAACATTAATTCATTTACCACTAAAGATATTGGTGTTAATTTTTTTGTACCACTCTGAACCAAAAATTGCTAACTATAATTTAGGCACATAACACAAACTAATTTAGGTTAGCTTTAACGTTTTTCCAAAGTGAGACGTAATCAAAAAAATTAATAACACTCCTATATACTACAATACATATAATAAGTTTACTTCTGTTACTTTCACAATTAATAAACAGACATTCACAGGACTGAGCCTCTATATATAAGTGTACAACAGAATTGCTACCAATTTATTCAATAGCTATAACTTTTTTACTTTGGACTCACTTTCTCAGTTCTTCTGGGGGCAAGAAATCACCAATGTGATGTTTCCCGGCCGCTTGTTTGGTAAGTTCGTCCGCCCATTTTTCTGTTGCGCACATCTCTTTCGCACGAAGCCTATAATAAAAACAACAATAACCGTAAACATGGGTTTATATATCAAATATTATTTATAGCGAGATATAAATAATATTTGATATGGATCAAATATTATTTATATCTCGCTTGAGTAATCTTCTATTTCGTTGTATATGGCAAGACCAGTAGCTACATAACGATTAATATTATAAAAATTGATTTGGTAATGGCAACATTTTCGTAAATGTCACTATTACTTTTGTTAAAGCTGGTGAGTTTCATGATCGTTCTTCTTATCAGCGAAAAGATGTCATGACTGGGAAAAAATTGTTGAACGATACAAAAGTCCTTTTATAAGTTTATTTGAATACTTTTTGCCCCAAATTCGTCCGTGTTTCTTATAGCCTACGTCACGTAGTGAATAAGCACCAAACCCCGCAATCGTTATTGCTAAGCAACTTTCGCAACGGTCGGTCACGGGTTGAGTGAATAAAAACTTATTATTTTTACTCGAGCTACACGGTGCACAGTCCCGGCTGCATTTGCAGTCGTTAATACCCTCCAATCCGCATTGGACCAGCGTGGAGGGTCATAGCCCATCTTAACCATCCATAAGGAAGGCCCCCTACAGTGGGAACGTAAAAAGCTGATGATGAAACAAACAAACCTACAAACACCTTGTATCAAGTAACTCAATTTTATTTTCGCACCCTCGGTGCGACACTGTCACTTTTGCAAAAAATACAAAAATTAGTTAAATATGTAATATTTGTCCTAAAGCACCCCTTTACTTGGTGCGATAATGTTACTTTTGTAGTACGCATAGTTTCCGTATGATTCATCTCATCTATATCTTCTAAAGTCATTGTTTTGTGAGGTGTCAGAGTTTAAAACTCTTCTACTGAAAAACTAAATTTTTGCATAAGTGACAGTGTCGCACCGGGAGTGCGTTTTAATACACCTTCAATTTGTTTTCTATTTTTAAAATAAGCTTTATATTATTTTACATACTTATGTTCCCATGTTCCTTCAGCAGTATCTTCGTCGCTATCATATTCATACTTGTGCTTGCCGGCCGCGGCCAATCGTTCTACTTGTTGACGCTTCTTCAACATGTCCTGTTCAAATATAAATATGTATGTTCTCAACCATGCATGTAGCTTCCCATAGACGACAGATCGGTCCAGTAGTTTCAGAGCCTTTTAACGCTAACGAACAAACAACCATATTTTTCCTCTGTATAATATTTTTAGTATGGTCTATCCATACTTTTTAGCTTTCAGAAATGAGTCTTCAGAACTTCACTAAATCATCTTATCTACTATTTGATATAGTATTTATTAAACTTATTGGATAATGATATATTGAAACTTTACCTAGTGTAGTGTCACTAGTCTAATATTAAAACCTGCTTTTTGGTGAATATATTTTTTCAATATTTATCAATGTATTTACTCTTGAAAGCGCCAGTTGATAGACACACCAAGATGTACCAAAAAGTTTATTCTGAAGGAGCTTATAGTATATTGGCCATATTTTTTGTTAAAAATAGTGGTTCACTATTCTATTTGTAGCATATACCAATTCTTACTCAAATATTTGATTTGATCGCATATGTCTTTAGTATAACCTAATAATCACGAAAGATTTATTTTTTTAACTAATGACAATTTTAATGGACGTATGTGCAACTGGCTGTTATAGCTTAATTTATATGTGCTGTACACAATAAATATTATTTACCTGATATAGAAGATTTAATTTGAAATTATCTTCGCATTTCTTCCAATCTTCTGCACTAAGATTAGTAGTACCGTAATTTGTTACCGCATACTGCATCAAAGCTTGGTTGTTGCGATTTACATTGGTCAGTTTTAAACCTCCCTCGTCGATTTTTGCGAGTTTCGGTCCTATGACATGAAACAATATATGTTTCGGTGTTGGGCAAAATTTAATTGCAATTAACAACTGAATTTTTTTATTAATAATTGTGTTGGGCAAAACTTAATCGCAATTATTGTTAATTGCGAATTAACAACTGAATAATTTTTAACAGTAATTTTTGGTAAATAAAATAATTTAAGATATAGGGGTGGCACAAGGCAGGACTTCCATAAGGTTAACTATTGATCTCGCAGAGTCAACAGGAAGCCTTTGGTTCCAGGCCCCGTTATCAATATTTCTGGAAGTTAGGCTCTGTACTCATGGCTAGATACGATGCAATTCGATATCGATGAGACATCGCGTTGCAAATGGGATAGGTGACCAAATTTTCTTTACACGTTACTAAGCAAGTGAGAGAAATAAACAAAAGAAAGAGAATAAAGAGCAAAGAAAACAAAGCATAGAGGGATAAGAAAGAATAGAGAAAAAAGTGGGGAAGAAAGCAAAGAGAGAAAATGGGAAAAAAAACAAAGAAAGGAGCAATTAAAGAAAGATAGAACGAAGGAAAGAAAGGAAAAACCGGTAAGAAAAACGCCTGTCCCACCCCACCCACCTCACTCAACCCAATACAAGATATTAATCACCAATTAAAAATATTAATTGAAATATTTAAATTGCATCTTGCAATTAATATGAGTTCATTAAAAGAAATTATTTGTTATCTGCAATAATATTTGTAACAATATTTCTTTCGGCTGTTTGGGTGGATGCCTGAACATTGATGAGAATACGCGGATTGCGAAAGATCGTGGGTTCGATTCCCATCTCAGGGTGCCAGGGACCAAGTGGATTTTTTAAGCATTTTGTATTAAGAATAAATTATTTGCATTAAAATTTTCAATCAATTACTAATACAATTAAAATATTAATTGTTTAACACACAACCAACACTGTTTTCAAATATCGTTAACTAAGCTTATATCAGTCAATAATACTTGCCAAGCCTAAAGAACTCAACAAGTGGCTAATTTTCTAATTCTCAAAATTTATCGTAACTTGTTATTTCAACTTGTTATTTTGAAAGATGTGCAAGCGATTGCCATCGCGGTCTTTTTTTTAAAGATATCGAATTAACAATATCTTTAATTTAACTTTAGTAGGAATTCTGTAAGACAAGCATTAGATGCAAATATCTTTATCTTTATCGTCATTTGTTCCAAGCGATTGCAATATAATCCTAATCCTAAATAGATAGATAGATATTTAAATTAGACAATTTGCCCACAAAATTATTATTACAATCAGTGCATATGATGTGTTCTTTACAGTGAGTTATAGTCACATTTTCTTTCTCTTTTATAACATGTTAACATTTGAGGTAAAATAATAAACATGTTGCTACTTATAATATGAAGTTCCAACTCAGACTTTTTACCTTTTTATAAAAATGTTTATCTTTTTATTGTTACTGTTTCAATAAAGAATATCAAAGTTTAAATTCATATTCATAATACAACCATATAGGGGTATAGACAAGTTATAATAAGTTAAGATCTAAAAATAAATTAAATTTTCAAAATCTCCCCCATAAAATGTCACTTGTAATGGTGTTGCTATGACGTCACAGCCTTCTGAAACTGATATCGTTTTATGTATGCATAAGATCGAATTCTCCAAGTTCTGATATGGGTAAGAGGAGCGCTATTTGCAGGTCACGTGACAACGAGTATATAATATATATAGCAATACTATAAACATAATAAGCATAAAATGTGATTATCGGTAATAGTATATTATTTAACACTAAAAAGAAATATATATTTTCGTATACTGTCTACACCTGAATTATATTATTACCTTGAGTAATTTAATTTTATCTTAGTATTAAATTAACATAATGCAGTAATTGTTACCTGTGACAGGCATCATACTAGCCACATCTGGTGGCATCACAGGCATCACGATTCCAGGTGGCTTGATATCTTCGGCAGGTGGGTCATCGCCCCAACGAGACTTCCTTTTTCTTCTGCGTGCCTCTTTCTTACTGTCAGACTCCTCATCACTTTGGGAGCTAGCCTGCTCAGGTTTGAAAGAATCCTGATATGCGTTTTGGTTGAAATGGAACTGGGAATCGGAGCTGTAACATAGTTGTGTTTGGTCAAGTTGAGTAAAGTATGGTAGTGCTGCCTGAGCAATGATTCTAGTTTTTACAACAGACTGCTTAAATAAGTAGAACTATGTTACCATTGCAAATAATTATAATTATTGATTGACCATTTAGGTTTGAGGACTGTGATTCATAGCTTTTTAAGTTAGTTTTGACTATTCTTACTTATATTTAGGTGGTACTCAATTTAAAATAATCATGAAATGATATATCTAAAAAGAAAACACTTTAATCACTTAAATTAAATAATGAAGATTAATATAGTCTGTTCCTAGGATAGGCGAAAAAACGACAATAACCTAAAGTACTAGATAGCACTGTCCATAGAACTGTGTATGGTTTCCACGAAGTACTAAGTTTTATTGTATGGGATGCTATAAGTCACTGACTCCAACCCGTTCAACTATAGGTAGTGCGCCACGGAAACGATACACAATTCTATGAATAGCAATACATATTGTTTACTTTCAACGATCACATAATACTTTGGATCATTTTCTGTTTTTTTTTTCGTCTATCCTAGGAATAGACTTTACAAAGAATAGTACGAAATATACTTACTTGTCTCTTGATTCTTCCTTCACATAGGGTCTACCGTCCTCACTGTCATCATCCTCTAAACTGAACTCAGGCTCATATTTATCCTCAGGCTTCACCTCAGGTTTCTTCTCATTGTGTTGGTTGTTCCGAATCATTATCACTAATTCCCAGAACGCCTTATACTCGCTAGAGTTCTGATTATGAAGGAACCTGCAAGGATATTCACAGCTAAGTCATATATATACTAAAATAATCACATATAATATTTAAAAGTTTTTAAACCTGTAAAAGTGCAAGTGGTACAGTGTTACCTCTTGAGATACTTAATTTTGGAATTTATAATTAGAACTTAAGGTATTAGTAAAAATCTCTTAAAGTTTACACTGTTCCACGCATCAGTTGTAATGAATGTAATACAAAAAGGAATACAGAACGCATCCTCCTGGATCGATAGTGGCTACAGTGGCATTACCACATATTTTGATCTTGTGAGTGTATTGCTTTCAGGACATTTTCCCAGTGGTCACCGTTGCTGGCGACCTCGCTGGCCGCACGCTGGACTGACGGCGGGAACATATCTGCAGAGAGAACTGCACACGACGAGTCAACATTTTGTCTTACGGCCACGCGTCGGAAACCCACACAACACTCAGCCAAACCATTTTTCATCTATATTTGGACTGAGTCTTGTCACAAAGAATATAATGGTAGATATAGTATTTTATTTAATAGAATAAATGTATTTAATATTAAATACAAAAATTATTATGCTTGTAAAGCATGTTTTATTTGACCTTGTTATAATTTACATAATGTTAAAAAATCCTTTTTTTTTTTTAATTTAAAGTACAATTTCGAGTTTCATTATAAAATTTAAAGGTACAGTAATTCTCACTGTATCATTGTATAAGTATTTTGAAATCTTTGTGAAAGCAATTTTTCAGTTTTTATTATATAATTAATGGATTCTACTTCTGTCAACTTGATAGTACAAAAATATAATAAAAGTAAATTTACTACCATTACCTTCTTTGACAAGGCACTCTCTTATATAATATACTAAAATAAACAGAAAAGATATCTTAAAATAAATATTATACGAGAGAGTTCATATCAATTTAGATTCAAATAGCAAACATATCTTTATAATATTATTTTCATCAATAAATAAATGTTAATAATATTACAAAGATAAAAATTTACACAAAAAGTGAAAAAATACCTTGTGTAGTTTTTGGTGGTGCTGGAATGTTTCCTGGATCCAAGTCTTTGGGCTTTGGGATATGATTTAAGGGCAGAGGCATTGGTGGAGGAATGTTTTGAAGCTTCATAGGTTCTGGTGGTGGAATAGTCACAGTTTCAAGAGGTTTTGGTTCAGGTATTTTATGGACTGTACTTTGGTTCATGTTAGGTGGTCCAAATGGGGGCATGTTCGGAGGACCATTTCCATTAGGCCCAAAATTAGATCCATTTCCATTTGGACCAAAGTTTGGACGGTTAGGGCCAAACGGTGGTCTGGGACCCATAAATGGCATGTTGTTATTTCCTGAATTTGGAGGCATCATGGAATTTCGAGGACCATTAGGACCCATCATTGATTGATTAGGAAAAGGAGGACCAAAGAAAGGTGGCATTGGACCGTTTGGACCAGGGCCGCGCATATTAGGACCACACATGTTAGGTGGCATTAGTCCTGGTCCACAAGGACCTTCTGGTCCATTTGGTCCCATAAAATTAGGGGGCATCGCAAAATTGGGGGGCCCACCCATAAATGGTGGCATAGGACCACCAGGTCCACCGGGCCTCATCATTGGACCCGGCCCCATTGGGCCTGGCCCCATAGGCCCTGGTCCCATAGGTCCTGGTCCCATAGGTCCTGGTCCCATCGGACCATGACCCATAGGCCCGGGACCCATCGGGCCTGGACCCATTGGCCCTGGACCCATTGGACCAGGTCCCATAGGACCAGGACCCATGGGTCCCGGTCCCATAGGTCCAGGGCCCATTAGACCTGAACCCATAGGTCCTGGCCCCATGGATCCTAGACCCATAGGACCTACTGAAGGACCAGACCCCATCATACCCTGATTTGAATTATCAGAGTCATCTTTTGAATCATGTCCAGATTGCATATTCCATTGATGGTGACTATCAGAGTCTGAATTGGGATCATCAGGAGGGGCAACAGACAACTGCATTAAAGAGGGAATGGATTTATTTTCAGGTGCTTTCTTTCTGTCTTCCACAATTGGTGTAATGGGGCTATGGGATCTGTTTTTTCCTCTGTCACTCCATCTTCTTTGTCTTTCTCTGAGGTCATAAAAAAATATTTAATATATTAGAATATTAGGTAACTATTAAAATACACACAAAATTAAAACACTATATTACCGTCCTCCTTTATCACTAGGCCTTCTCCTATCATCATTTTCACTAACTAGATGTTCCGGATAAGTTTCAGTATCATCAGAATTTTGAATTTCTTGAGGTTTTGGTTTCTGTTCACTTTTTATACTTTTCTTCAATTCTTCTGCTATTTTTTCTTTCTCTTCTTTTTCTTTTTTTTCTTGATGCTGTTTCTCGAGTAGAGCTTTGAATTGACTCATAAAACTACCATCATTTGAAAAGATATTTGCTGACCCCGATTCATCTTTTGTTGATGGACTATAAAAAAATACAAAATTAAAACAGTGTCAGATTACTATGTGATTAAAAATTTCCTTATATCAAAATAATTAATGCTCATGCCCAGATTAGTCTTGAATGTCCAAAAAATTTACATCTAAAATCTAAGCAAACTTTTATTATAAAATACTTGCTTACCCACACATAGAGTTAAATTCAGACAGTGAGCAGGACATGACATCAAAAATTACCGCTTACAATATAAATGTGTGCACAAGATAAAGTACTCAGAAATAAATGGTGTTCTCTAATCAGCACCACCACTATTCAAGGTCTGTTGTCTGAATGCAACTACAGGTATTTGCCAGTAAAATATATGTATATGAATAATATTTTTTTTATAATTTGTTAACCAATTTTCACCAGGTTCAGTTCAAAGGTTAGATCTTTAGAGATAACAACAAATAATATAAATTGCATTAAAACACATGTCTGTCATTAGATTTTTTGGCTTTCAATTTTAAAGAGATAATGGGTGAGAAGCACAATTTCCAATATTGATAAAAATTACACAAGAAATATGACTCAAAATTTGAAAATAGGAGGTAAAATATGTATAAGTATAATAGTGTTTGTGATTAATTTCAAACACCTAGTAAATTGAGATCCAAATAAACACAATCAGCAAAATACAATTAAAAATTAAAATAAATAAATTGGCAAGTATGTACTTACTTGGTCAATTTAGCTTGAGCTGCGAGAGCTGCCGCCTGTTTCTGAGCCTCTAACTTGGCCTGTATTTCGAGTTTCTTTCTTTCTATAATTTGTTCTTGCTTTGACATCTGTGCCCATCTTGTACTGAGTGCAGACTTGCTTTTATTGTCTTTAAAATGAATCATAGCAAATAATGCTACTCCTTGTGAACTAATTTAAACTTGTAAATTAACTCAATAGGATTACATCTATTTTCTGAAAAACGCCATGAAATGGCCATAAACGATAATTATTTTTATTTGACATTTTACTAGAGATGTGCCGATTCATGCATGTATCAGACTGACTCGAATACTAACTAACATGCATACGTAGCAATTACAGACGTACTCGATAAAAGTTAAACTTCGATTAAACTTCGTGTTAAATCTGTCGAATCAATGAGAAAGTATCAAAATCAGTGCTGCCAACTCTAGAAAATAATTTCTGCTAAATAGGCTTTAAAAAAATGCCAAAAATATGCCAAATATTTTCGAAAATACTTAAAAAATGCTTTTATTAGAGAAACAGAATATTTATTAAAAATCTTTATAAAGAAGCATTTATAAATAAATTGCGAAGACCCTCGTCGGTATCCTGAGCCATTGATGTAGCCGGTAGGTATGGAGCAGATGACGTAGATGCATAAGCCTCATTACATTAGTCCCTATTTTTCGCAAAATTTGATCAGGGACCTCATCGATTCTCCTCAACAAAAACTCATTATATTCAAGCGGGATTTATCTAACCAAAGACTACTCTATGACTATAAATCTACGAACACTCTTAGGTTGTGTTCAGACATATATAGCATATTTTTTAAGAAAAAATGAAAAATATCTTTAGATATTTTACTCTCAATAAAATGCTAAAAAAATATGCTATATGCTAAACTGAATTTAATTATGCCAAAACACTAGAAAATATGCTAAATTTAGCCATAAAAATGCTAAATTGGCAGCACTGATCAAAATAAAACGAAAGCACTAAAAAAGCACCTCCACTAGATGGCGACTCTAGCAAAAGTTGATTTTTGCAGGAAACGAATAGACCACAGACAGTAATTTCCATTCCTTTTAACTAACATAATAAAAAACCGAAAGAATCATGTCCAATTTTGACCTAGAAATTAATTAACACGTCCAGTGATGTGATGTATCTTAAAATATAGTGTATAATATATATATATATATATATATATTATTTTAATATATATATGTATTATATATCGCTCACTGAATACTACAGTGGCACAACTCAAAAACCATATTTCGAGAAACGCTCTCCGAAGTTATGAAAATTTAATATATTTATAATTATGAAAATCATTTTTTTTTAGCATAACAGTTAAATCGTTTGTAATATATTATTACTGTTAAGTTTTTTATTTTTTCTTTAAATTATCTATGGGATGCCACCACAATGTTGTGGCGTTTTCTCGAAATAATAGTTTTTGAGTTGTGCCACTGTAGTATTCAGTGAGCGATATATGTATTAAAATATTTTTTACGTATTTCATAGCGCATAATAAAGTATTAAAATAAGACCAGGAAAAAAATAAGGAGGCTGATAAACTGCAGAATGATCGTTTGCTGCGATTCGTTTCATCTACTACGAGAAATATATTCATTCATCTTAAGGCTAAAAAGTGCACAATAACAATTTCATTTATTTTTATTTTCTTAACTAAGAATAATATTTTATAAAACATTTATTTTAATGATATGAATGATGTGAAAAATGAATGTACTGTTGAACCAGTTACGCATAGAGCGAAATTCTTCACTCAAACGGAACGGCATGTTTCAAGGCGCCAGTATTATATTTATATTTTGATTATACATGGTGTTAATGGACGTATTGTTGCGTTGTTGTGCACATGTTATGACGATTGTGTAGTTTCTGGGTTGGGCCAGGCAGCCAGGCATCAAAATAACATTAATACCCCAGCTGCATTTTTGGATGAAGTAGTTCTAAGAGGAGATAGTGGTAGTGAATAAATAATTTAATAACAAATACTGTTTTTATTTCTATTTATAATATAAACTAAGATTGAAATCAACATTATGCGTAATCGATTTTAATATTCCCAGTATACTTTGGTCAAAGCAAATAAATTAAAAATATTTCGGAAAAAAACACAATAGCATCTTTTTGGACTATATTACATTAGAATAATACTTTAAAGCCATTAAATATAACTAAAATTCGCAATTACCTCAAGTTTTGACAGTTGTTACAACCTCAATATATTATTTACAAATTACACTTTTCTCTGGGCTTTAAATGAAAAGATTATTTGTTAAAATTCTATTATAAGCAAAAACCAATTTAAAATAACACCATTTGTAAGTAGACACGACCTTTAAAAGAAAACGAGTGACAGGTCAATCAATGTATGGAAAGTGGACATGATTCTTTGAAAAGTTCAACTTAGATATCAATACAAATACTTTTTCGTATTGATATCTAAGTTTATTGAGTTTTGAAAACTAATTTAATTTTAAACATGAAAGAAAACCAGAAGGGTTGTCATGGAGAAATCAAGAACGTACCGTAGCAACATCTAGTTTGATTTCGAGAACTAATGATTTCTTTTTTAAATACTTCCTCATTTGAGTTGATTCGACAGATTGAGCAGTGCGTAGGCAAGTTGATCCTTTCAACAAGTTGAACGTTGAGTCGATCGTTCTAGCAATCGACAAGTTGAATCAACAGATTGAATACGCGTTGAATGATGAATAGATCGATTGATTCAAATATCTGTCACTTGTGCTCCAAACGCGTTGCTATGTGGTTGCTTGTTTACTAACTAGAGTCTTGATTACCGTACGCTTGTTAAAAGTAAATAAATAATGCAAAGAATGTCTGGATTAAAGTGTCGGACTTAATCCGAATTCAGGTTAGGAATCAAGAACTTGTATAAAGATTTACTCCTATATGCAGTATAAATATAAATAAAAACAATTAGTATATGATACCCATATGTGTTTAATAATGTAAAGGTTTATAGTTCCACACGAACGGGAAGTCGGACGCAAGAAGTCTATGTACTTACTTTATGGTATTACGATCAATTGATGTTTCTCTTACAAACCACTGAACCCTCGAGAAATTCTGTTGATACTCTTGAAGTAAGTATAAATAACTATATAATTGATTGATTTAATTATTTTTTAATTTTATTTACAACTACTTACAACGGAACAAAATTTATCATTTTATCTTGAAAGGACACACTTCCTTCTTCATTAAAATATCGGGCAAATGGATCACGGACATTATTTCCTTTCTCGTTTCGCCTTCTTTTATTAATTTCTGCTAGAGATACTAAACCTTCCGCTTCTTGGCGCCACGCTCCCCGATGAAATGATCTAACTTTGAATATTTTCAAAGTCTTTAAAGTTACGAGTGACATAACCAGGGGACTTTTTCCACAAGTAATTGTGTAACGCACAACATACTAGAACAACTGCGTCAACATTACCAATATCTATGGCAATGATACGGCGAAAAATTCTGAATCTTGCTGCTAATATTCCAAAAGTAGTTTTGACTACTCTTCTTCCCCGAGAAAGTCTATAATTCAAAATCCATGCTGTCGCGTAATATTTTTGAAAAGTTATGGTTTCATGATATTTCTATTTATGCTAAATGCACTGTCCCCAACAAAACATAAGACGCAGGTGTACTTGTGCCTGGTAAATCAGTAGAAGGCGGTTCAGAAGACATAAGTTTTCTATAAAATAATGTACTTTTAACACACCACCATCCGAAATACTTCCATTCATTCCCGTGTTTACATAAATGAATTCATAGTTAGCATTCACGACGGCTAATAATACCACGCTGAAAAAATGCTTATAATTGAAATATTCTGAACCAGTAACTGCTCATTTTTCAATTGCAATATGTTTTCCGTAAATATTGCCCACACAATGAAGAAAATTCCATTTTCTTTCAAATTCTTTTGCGGTCGTCTTCCATTCGTCTTCAGTGATAGACATATGAAAAAAAGAAGAAAAGCTTTAAAGACACCTTATATGGATGAATTCTTCTCTTCCATTTTATGAATAATCACAAAATGGAAGAGAAGAAACCGAAGATACGACCTCATCACAATCAATCCCGAACGATTTAATAAATTTTGCTAAAAAGTTATTGAACAAGAAAGAAGAAAATGGAAGATATTGATGATGGCCAATTAACTTTTGCCAATAACATTATATCAGATGCAATGCGGAAATATTTAAAAAATAATAATTTGTTTTTGAAATCATACTAGGTCAATACGTAGTATCTTCTTCTTAGACTGTGCTAGGTGACTAGCGATGTTTAGATAGTGTTAATGATATTCATTCAAATTTTGTTTCTGACATAATAAAAGTAAATTGAGTATCGAAAATTAATAAATATGACATCGTTTCTTATCATATCTAACTTTCAAATAAATTAATTTTTTTTTGAATCGTAAGTTATATTATGTTACATGTAAAGGAACGATGTTTGGTTTATATGTCAAATTAGTGATGAGCCAACTTTTTGGTTGCTTGTAACTTCAATTGACTCGATTAATCCGAATTCAGGTTAGGAATCAAGAACAAAAGCGGAGCGCAGAATTCAGCTTGTTTTTTTTATGTGCAGTATTTCCATATGTGCCATCATGCATCCATACGTCGAGTTATATATAAATATAAAAAATCTATTCAGTCTCGGCTGTTACGTAGTACTTGTGAGTCGAAAGCCGGGAGATCTTGTACTGAGAAGAACCGTCAAGAAACTCAGCAAGGGCTGCTTTTTTATTCCTGTTTTATGTCACACAGACAAGTCTTGTCGTCTTGAACGTCAATGTGATTTAATCATACACCCAATGACAAATCAAATGAAATTAAGTAGTCCAGTGCAGACTCACCCCCACTGGCAGCACCCGCTGACGAGGTTGACGCATAAGCCATCTGTCGCTTCACTGAACTATATTTGAGGGAACGTAACGAACGAACGTCTAGGGTAGGTTGAGTAGGAAATCAATCTATTATTGACAATATTATTGTAAGAACCAAAACATAACACCTGGCTCGACGTCCGCCGTCGACATGCAAGTTAATTAGGGATGGTATAATAAGTGTATGTGTCTGTGGCGACTGATACATAGCGACATCTATTACATCGCAGTAACATCGCCACAACAATCGATAGTGAGAAGACTAGCATCGTCACAGCCATCGATAGCAAGACGAACTGCAATAAGTTTCAACAGCAAGTAACGAGATG